GAGCGTGTCAGGGGCGTGGCCTGCCTTCCACTTCCCGAGCATCGCTCTGATTCATTGTTAAAATAAAGAGGCCATGACCCTGGCACTCCCACCCCGGCAACCCCTGTGCGTGGAAATCCAGCCAAGGTTAGCACTGGGCCGCAGAAAAGAGGAGCTGGTAGGGGGAGGCCTACGGGAGGGGTAGGGGTCGAGGGATCCGGGGAAGAACTGGCTGAATGCCTGGATGGAGAGGGTCTCGGGTCCATTCTCTGGGTGGGGCATGTGTAACTGCTTAAGGTTTTGATTATTATATCCACATCTCAAGTGCATTTTAGAGAAGGATTCTGCCTATTGGGTGTGGGTAGGGGAGGAAACGGGAGCAGAGAGGGGCACGTGGAGTAGAGCCACCTACCCACCCCCAGGAAAATTCAGCGGCGTTCTCCTGCTAGGCGACGCTCCTTTATGTGGCCAGACCAGGAGAGAAACGCCCAGGACGGGCGGGGCCGATGCGCCCCTCTTCCACCACCAGGAGCCGGGAGGACGACTGCCCGGGGAGGATCAGAGACCCTGGGGCCACGGAAGGGCCAGTGGGTGGCCCTCTCCCCACCGTGCCCTGCTGTCGCCCCCACCCCATTCCCTTCTCCAGGTCTGATGATGGAGGAGCCTTGGCCCTGGCTGTCCCAGGGGAGGAGGTGAAATTCCTCAGCTCTCCACCAAGATCAGCAACAAAAGCCTGATCCCTGGAACACACCAGGTGAGGATGAATGAATGTGGGCAGGTGACCTGGGGGCACCAAAAGCTGCTTGTGTTTTGGGATGTTGGGTTCCTCCCACCCCCCACCGTCCCCTTGGGGCTCTGTGTGGGTGGGGAGGGCATCTTTAAGTGACTCTCCTGACCCAGCTTCATTCTAGGGCATGAATGTTGGCGGCCCAAGAGGCACCCAGAAAGGAGAACCCTTGTACAAGTTAAGACACCAGGGTTTCAGAAGGGTGTGATGCTTCACACCTGTAATCCCAGCACTTTGAGGGGCTGAAGGAGGAGGATTACTTGAGGTCAGGAGTTCAGGAGTTCAAAACCAGCCTGGGTAACACAGCAAGAGCCTTTTTGTTTGTTTGTTTGTTTGTTTTTTGAGACACACTGTTGCCCAGGCTGGAGGGCAGCAGGGCGATCTTAGCTCCACCGCAACCTCTACCTCCCGGGTTCAAGCAATTCTCTTGCCCCAGCTTCTCGAGTAGCTGGGATTACAGGCGTGCACCACCACGCCCAGCTAATTTTTGTAGTTTTAGTAGAGACAGGGTTTCACTATGTTGGCCAGGCTGGTCTTGAATTCCTGGCCTCAAGTGATCGACCTGCCTCAGCCTCCCAAAGTGCTGGGATTATAGGCGTCAGCCACCGCACCTGGCCAAGAGCCCATTTTTACAAAAGAGAAAGTTAAAAAATTAGCTGGGCATGGTGGCGTGCACCTGTATTCCCAGTTACTGGGGAGACTGAAGCTAGAGAATCATTTGAGCCCAGGAGTTTGAGGCTGCAGTGAGCTGTGATCGAGCCACTGCACTCCAGCCTGGGTGACAGAGCAAGACCCTGCCCCCACCACCTCCTCAAAAAAGAAACTAGGGGCCAGGTGCAGTGGCTCACACCTGTAATCCCAGCATTTTGGGAGGCTGAAGGGGGTGGATCACCTGAGGTCAGGAGTTCGCCTGGCCAACATGGCAAAACCCCGTCGCTACTAAAAATACAAAAATTAGCCAGGCATGATGGCACATGCCTGTGATCCCAGAAACTACTTGGGAGGCTGAGGAAGGAGAATTGCTTGAACCCAGGAGATGGAGGTTGCAGTGAGCCGAGTGAGCTGAGATCACACCACGGCACTCCAGCCTAGGCGACAGAGAGAGACTTTGTCTTAAAAAAACAAAACAAAACAAAAAAACACATTAGGGTTTCTTTTTGGCTAAGCTCTGCCACAAACTTGCTGTGTGACTTCAGGCTGTTCATGTTTGTCAAAGACGTCATCCTCAACTCTGAAAATATCTGGTCAGCCTTTTGCCTCCCTCGCTGTGCTTCCCAAGGGAGCTGTGCGAGTTGGCAGTATGATCCAGTGCTCCTCACTTCCACCTCCAAGAGAGCAGGGACACACACAGCCCTGGATTTGAATCAGCCACTGTGACCTTGAGTGAGCAAAGGAACCTCTCTGAGCCTTAGTTGCCTGATCTAAAATGGGCATTAATTTGATCTACAATGCAGAGTAGCTATAATACAAGGACACTCAAACTTTGGGGCGCACTAGAATCACCGGGGAAATCACTTTTTTTTTTCTTTTTTAAAGACAGAGTCTCGCTCTTGTCACCCAGGCTGGAGTGCAGTGATACGATCTCGGCTCACTGCAACCTCCACCTCCTGGGTTCAAGCGATTCTCCTGCCTCAGCCTTCTGAGTAATTGGGACTACAGGCGTGCACCACCATGCCCAGCTAATTTTTGTATTTTTTGTAGAGATGGGGTTTCGCCAGTTGCCCAGGCTGGTCTTGAACTCTTGGGCTCAAATGATCCGTCCGCACAGCTGGAATGTGCATTTTTTTGTTTTTTGTTTTGAGATGGAGTCTCACTCTGTCGCCCAGGCTGGAGTGCAATGGCGCGATCTTGGCTCACTGCAACCTCCGCCTTCTGGGTTCAAGCCATCTTCCTGCCTCAGGCTCCCAAGTAGCTGGGATTACAGGAACGCCCCATCACACCCGGCTGATTTTTGTATTTTTAGTAGAGACGGGGTTTCACCATATTGGCTAGGCTGGTCTTGAACTCCTGACCTCAAGTGATCGGCCCGCCTCAGCCTCCCAAAGTGCTGGGATTACAGGCATCAGCCACTGTGCCCGGCCTGGTATCTGCATTTTTATGAACAGCCCAGGAGGGTGTAATGCAGAGTCCTTGGCATGCACTTTCAGCAACACTGCAGTAAGGACTAGAAATCGCACATCAAATGCTGGCAGAGTGCTTGGGTGCTTAGTAGGTGCTTAGCGAGTGTTTGTTGAGTGAATAAATGAACAGGAATGGATGGAGAATAGGAACATCCAAAGGAATGGATGAGTAACCTTATTTCCTTGGTCCTTGTCTGGAAACTGGGGCAACTGGGGCTGAGGTTCAGGTGAGTGGCCAGCCAGTCATCTGGTCTTTGCCTCTCCCTCATTTTCGCCAGGCCTCACCTAGAGGTTCAGCCATTGGATTATAGGAACTGCCCTGGCCTGACTCACCCAATATGGAGGAGGTGCCTGGGGATGCCCCCTGTGAACACTTTGAGGCCAACATGCTTACCCAGAACCGCCGTCAAAACTGCTTCCACCCTGAGGAGGCCCACGGAGCAAGATACCAGGTGAGCCAGTTCTCCACGTGGTTGAGGTGGTTTGGGATGGGGGCATGGGTGAAGGACTGGGCCTGTGGTGTCCGCTAACTCACAGTTGAACCCAGATGCTGACCTTCCTCCTGGCCAGAGCCTCGGTTTTCCCACATTGCAATGAAGTGGTTGAACCATGTGAATGTTTCACAATCTTCAGTCACTTTCCTCCTGCTTATATGATACGATTGTTACCATAGCCTCATCTAATCTATTACTTACTTTGTTAGTCTTTAAATCAACATCTTTTTCCCCTCCTATTGTAAAAAAACTTCACATCATCAACACAAGTAGAAAACTATAATTATTTCCTGTGTATATAAAGTTAAGGAGAAAGGTAGAGCCTGGGCACAGAGGCTCACACCTGTAATCCCAGCAGTTTGGGAGGCCAAGCAGGTGGATCACCTGAGGTCGGGAGTTTGAAACCAGCCTGGCCAACATGCTGAAACTCCATCTCTACTAAAAATACAAAAATTAGCTGGGCACGGTGGTCCATGCCTGTAATCCCAGCTACTCGGGAGGCTGAGGCAGGAGAATCACCTAAACCCGGGAGGCGGAGGTTGTGGTGAGCTGAGAACACACCACTGCACTCCAGCCTGTCTCAAAAAAAACCAAAACACAGAAGAAAGGTAGAAAAAGAAAAAAACAAAACAGAAATGTCATTAAACCCTAACTCGAGAGTATTTTCTTTTTCTTTCTTTCTTTTTTCTTTTTTTTTTTTGTAAGACAGAGTCTTGCTCTGTTGCCAGGGCTGGAGTACAGTGGCGTGATCTCAGCTCACCACAACCTCCACCTCCTGGGTTCAAGCGATCCTCCCACCTCAGCCTCCCAAGTAGCTGGGATTACAGGTGCCTGCCACCATGCCCAGCTAATTTTTGTATTTTCAGTAGAGACAGGGTTTCGCCATGTTGGCCAGGCTGGTGTTAAACTCCTGACCTCAGGTGATCCACCTGCCTCGGCCTCCCAGAGTGCTGGGATTACAGGCATGAGCCACTACACCTGGCCTCGAGAGTGTTTTCTTTTCTTTTTTTTTTTTTTTTTACGAAGATTGAATCTGCTTTATTTATATACACAATGGGGCAGCCTAATGCACATCATAACATTAACTTTTCCAAACAAGTTTGCTAAGAAACTGCTCCTATATTTAGTGTTAAAAATAAAACAATCTTCCCATTTAGAAAAATCAAGACATCAGTCAATTAGTAAAGCCTATTCTTCCTCCCAGCAATTTGTACTTTCTTGTATTCATTTAGGAATTGTGAATTCATGAGAAAAGAACACTTTTTTTTTTTTTTTGAGACGGAGTCTCGCTCTGTCACCCAGGCTGGAGTGCAGTGGCCGGATCTCAGCTCACTGCAAGCTCCGCCTCCCGGTTTACGCCATTCTCCTGCTTCAGCCTCCCGAGTAGCTGGGACTACAGGCGCCCGCCACCTCGCCTGGCTAGTTTTTTTTTGTGTTTTTTAGTAGAGACGGGGTTTCACCTTGTTAGCCAGAATGGTCTCGATCTCCTGACCTCGTGATCCGCCCGTCTCGGCCTCCCAAAGTGCTGGGATTACAGGCTTGAGCCACCGCGCCCGGCCGAAAAGAACACATTTTTTATGTGTTAAATATCTTCCAGGAACAACAGTTTACAAGTATTCATTTGTTTAAATAAACACAACTATTTTCCTTCTTAAAATGTAAACATCCAGTAAATAAAACATACATGATATTCCAGGTATAGAAATATTAGTAACTCACTTATGAAACAGGTGCATTTTGGTATATTTGGTGGTAAGGTTTTTCTTTGTCTTATGTATAAAAGTACTTGCACAAAAAAACAGGCTATTACTATTTAAAACTCTATTCCTTCACCCAGTTTCCTCACTCAAGTAGAAACTCATGAATTTCTGTGATTTTCGCTATAGGACCAGGCCACAGGAAAGGGCTAAAATATCTCTAATTAGAGGTAGGGAAAAGTGTTTTCTTGAGACTTGAAGGCAGTCATTCGTCACTTTGTGCTCGAAGGCATTCCTCAGTGAACTTCTCTCCTAGAGCCTTCAGAGTAAAGCACAGGATCTGGGCTCCCGGAAGGGGTTACTTCCGGCTGGAACACCCACCAGCAGGGCATCCTTGCAGGCATTCTGCATACAGTATTGTTGAAGCTCTGCAGCTGCCTGAGGGACCTTGATCCTCTCCATGCCAGCCTCCAACTTGAGCTGCTCCACCAGGTGCTGCAGGGCGCTCGCGCTAGCGCTGGAGGACATGGCGGCGGCACTGGGCTCTGAGGGCCGAGAGTGTTTTCTGTGGAAGGCTCTGAGCTTGAGTCCTGCTGTCTCTTTGTCAAAAAGGGAGATTAGCAGATGTTAGAGAGATGTTAAGAATACACCAGCATCATCTGGAGATTTTCTTTCTCTCTCTCTCTTTTTTTTTTTTTTTCTTTTGGAGATAGGGTCTTGCTCTGTAGCCCAGGCTGGAGTGCAGTGGTCCAACCATGGCTTACTGTAGACTCAACCTCCCAGGCTCAAATGATCTTCCCACCTCAGCCTCCTGAGTAGCTGGGACTACAGGCACATGCCACCACGCCCGGCTAATTTTCTTGTAGAGACGGGATCTCACTATGTTGCCAGGGCTAGTCTCAAGTTCCTGGGCTCAAGCGATCCCCCCACCTCAACCTCCGTAACTTCAGGGATAACAGGTATGAGACACCGCACCTGGTCTGGAGATCTGGAGATTTTCTTCTTCAAGTTATTAAAGGAGTGAAGAAGAGTCCTTTTCTTTTTTTTTTTTATTTGAGACAGAGTTTCTCTCTGTCGCCAGGCTGGAGTTCAGTGGCTCAGTCTCGGCTCATGGCAACCTCCATCTCCCAGGTTCAAGTGACTCTCCCGCCTCAGCCTCCTGAGTACCTGGGATTACAGGAGTGCACCACCACGCCTGGATAATTTTTGTATTTTTAGTAGAGTCAGGGTTTCACCATGTTGGTTAGGCTGGTCTCGAACTCCTGACCTTCTGATCTGCCCGCCTTGGCCTCCCAAAGCGCTGGGATTACAGGCATGAGCCACTGCGCCCAGCCGAGATTTTCTTCTTCAAGTTATTGAAGGAGTGAAGAAGAGTCCTTTTCTTACCTTGTGATTGATGTAGTCTGCTGCCAAGCCCCCATGCATGTAAACACAGAGGACCTGATACACACGATGAGAAACCTCAGACCCATGAACCTCCGAGGGTCCTTCCAACCTTGACCCCCATGGCTTCGTCATTCCCACTGGGGTCTGAAGCTCCTCTTTTTTTTTTTTTTTTTTTTTTTTTTTTTGAGACAGAGTCTCGCTCTGTTGCCCAGGCTGGAGTGCAGTGGCACCATCTCGACTCACAGCAAGCTCCGCTTCCCAGGTTCACACCATTCTTTTGCCTCAGCCTCCCGAGTAGCTGGGAGACTACAAGCACCTGCCACCTCGCCCGGCTAATTTTTTGTATATTTAGTAGAGATGGGGCTTCACCGTGTTAACCAGGATGGTCTCAATCTTCCTGACCTCGTTATTTGCCCACCTCGGCCTCCCAAAGTGCTGGGATTACAGGCGTAAGCCACCGCGCCCAGCCTGAAGCTCCCCTTGAGCCTGGCAGCCAGTTTCATGCAGGGTTTAGTTTCCTAGAGGTGCCATTGGGAAGGGGTTACTGCTGTTGGGCTTGGGAGCCAGGCAGGCCTGAGCTCCAGTCCTAGGTTTGCCGTGACCTGCTGTGTCCCCTGGGGTTAACTTCTCTGGCTTCACTGTCCTCATGGCTGAAGTTGGGGCAATAGGCTTCTCATTCAGGACATCTGGCACTGCTTAGCCCAAGACCCATGTGGCTAATTCAGTTCATGTTAGTTTCCTGTCTTCCCCCTTCCTGACCAGAAAAGTAAACCTTGGAGGACTCTTTTCTACTAGTATTTTTTTTTTTTTTTTTTTTGAGACAGAGTCTCCCTCTGTTACCCAGGCCGGACTGCAGTGGCGCAGTCTCGACTCACTGCAACCTCTGCCTCCCAGGTTCAAGCAATTCTTGTGCCTCAGCCTCCCAAGTAGCTGGTAGCTGGGATTACAGGCGCCCGCCACCATGTCTGTCTAATTTTTGTATTTTTAGTAGAGGCGGGGTTTCGCCATGTTGGCCAGGCTGTTCTCAAACTCCTGACCTCAGGTGATCCACCCACCTCAGCCTCCCAAAGTGCTGGGATTACAGGAGTGAGCTACCGCGCCTGGCTTCTACCGGTCTTGATACCTCCAATAATAGCTTTCCTGTGTCGCCTGCAAGTTCAGGTTCAGGGAACAGATGCCTGGGAGTCCATCTTTCATGCAAATGACCTTCTCCCAGTGGTTGGGAAGATGGCAAGCATGGAACAGGAGAGCTCTGGATTCAGGCTGGTCTGAGTTCTAGTCTCAATCCCACCATTTCCCACCTGAGACTGTGGGTCAGCTCATGAATTCATATATACTGAATAGGTGCTTAAAATGTGCCAGGAATTATGCTAGATGTTGGGGAAATCATGATAAATCAGAAAGGCACAGTCAGGCGCAGTGGCTCACTCCTGTAATCACAGCACTTTGGGAGGCCAAGGCGGACGGATCACTTGGAGTTCGAGACCAGCCTGGCAACATGGCAAAACCCCATCTCTACAAAAAATTTAAAAAATTAGCTGGGCGTTGTGGCATGCAGCTATAGTCTCAGTTACTTGGGAGGCTGAAGTGGGAGGATCACCTGAGACTGGGAGGTGGAGGCTGCAGTGAGTCGTGATCGCATTACTGTATTTCAGCCTAGGTGACAGAGTTAGACTATGTCTCAGAACAGAATAGAAAAGAAAAGAAATCAGGGAGGGGGAGGGGGAGAGGGAAGGGGAGACGGAGAGGGAGGAGGAGATGAGGAGAGGGGGACATATCCCTGGCTTGACTTCATAGGGCTTGTAGTCTAGCAAGAGAAATGGACAGTAAGAAAGTAATCATGCACATGATTATTTAATCTTGGTTGTGATAAATGTATAAAGGAATAGTAAGTGGCATGAAGGTAAAGGATAGGGCATTGGGGAAACTGTCTCCAAAAAAATGACATTTCAGCTGCTTGGTAAAGGCTGTGCAGGCATTAGCATTAGTCAGTGAAATTGCAGGAAGAGGAGAGGAAGGGAGTAGAATGTGCAAAGGCCAGCCTGGCACGGCAGTTCACACCTGTAATGCCAGCACTTTGGGAGGCTGAGGCAGGAAGATCACTTGAACTCAGGAGTTTGAGACCAGCCTGGGCAGCACAGTGAGACCCCATTTCTACCAAAAAAAAAAAATTAGCCAGGCAGGATGGTGCACACCTATAGTCCCAGCTAGTCAGAAGGCTGATGTGGGAGGATCACTGGAGCCCAGGAGTTCAAGGTTGCAGTGAGCTGTGAGTGTGCCAATGCACTCCAGCCTGGGCAACAGAGTGAGACCTTGTCTCAAAAACAAAACAAACAAAGAGGCCGGGTGCAGTGGTTCATGCCTGTAATCTCAGCACTTTGGGAGACTGAGATGGGTGGGCACCTGAGGTCAGGAGTTCAAGACCACCCTAGCCAACATGGTGAAACCCCATCTCTATTAAAAATACACAAATTAGCCAGGTGTGGTGGCAGGTGCCTGTATTCCCAGGTACTCGGGAGGCTGAGGCAGGAGAATCTCTTGAACCCAGGAGGCGGAGGTTGCAGTGAGCCAAGATTATACTACTGTACTCCAGCCTGGGCAACAGAGCGAGAATCCTCTCAAAACAAAACAAACAAACAAAGAATATGCAAAGGCCCTGAGGCAGAAAGGAGGCTGCACATTGGGCTGGAGAGGACAGCAAGAGGGGGCACAGAGGAGCTATAGAACAAGGATGGAGAATGGGGGGGGCCTGGTCTCACTGGCCTTGTGCGGCTTTGTGGACATGTTGAGGACTTAGGATTCTGAGTTTTGTTTTGTTTTGTTTTTGTTTTTTTTTTGAGATGGAGTCTCGCTCTGTCGCCCAGGCTCCAGTGCAGAGGCATGATCTCGGCTCACTGCAACCTCCGTCTCCCAGGGTCAAGCGATTCTCCTGCCTCTGCCTCCCAAGTAGCTAAGACTACAGGCATGCGCCACCAAGCCCAGTTAATTTTTGTATTTTTAGTAGAGATGGGGCTTCACCATGCTACTCAGGCTGGTCTTGAAATCCTGGCCTCAAGCAATCCACCCTCCTTGGCCTCCCAAAGTGCTGAGATTACAGGTGTGAGCCACCAATAAGGGAGTGACATGTTCTGATTTTCTTTTTTCTTTTTTTTTTTTTTTTTTTGAGATGGTGTCTTGCTCTGTCGCCCAGGCTGGAGCGCAGTGGCGCGATCTCGGCTCACTGCAAGCTCCGCCTCCCGGGTTTACGCCATTCTCCTGCCTCAGCCTCCCGAGTAGCTGGGACTACAGGCGCCCGCTACCACACCACGCCCAGCTAATTTTTTGTATTTTTAGTAGAGACAGGGTTTCACCATGTAAGCCAGGACGGTCTCGATCTCCTGACCTCGTGATCTGCCCGCCTCAGCCTCCCAAAGTGCTGGGATTACAGGTGTGAGCCACTGCGCTTGGCCCTGATTTGCTTTTTTCACAGTCACTCTGATTGCTGGGCAGAGAGAATGGAGTGTGCAGGGTGGTGAGAGTGAATCAGATGACCCGCCAGGAAAAGGTGCACGTACTCATCAGTGCCAGAGATGATCAGGGCTTTGAGATGGAGGCAAATTGACACATTTTCGAACTAATTGAACAGGCACATATTTGGGGGTGAGGGAGGGGAGAAACCCATGGCTGACTCCTGTTATTTCTCCAGGCAGGGTACTTGGGTTGGGAGGTCTGTTTGGAGTTGTCTGGGGCATGGTGTGGGGTGCCGGCAGGACACAGTGGAGATGAGGGGGAGGTTAGTGAATTGGGGGAGCTGGAGCTCAGGGCCAGACCACCACAGGAGATGGAGGCCTGCGAGTCTTCAGGATCTGTCACTGACCAAAGTCTTGCTCATGGATGAGGCTATCGTCTGCAGAGGAAAGTGTGGAATGAGATGAGAATAGGCCTGGGTGGAGGCCAGGGAATCAGCAAAGACAGCCAAGAAGGCCAGAGGCTTGGAGGCAAACCCCACAATGTGCCCCTCCTCTCCAGTAGCCAAGACCAGAGATGGTTTCAAGGTAAGAGAGGGGGCTGGGCACAATGGCTCCTGCCTGTGATCATAGCACTTTAGGGGGCTGAGGCTGAAGGAAGTGCTTCAAACCAGGAGTTCAAGATCAGCCTAGGTAACAAAGTGAGATCCCATCTCTATAAAACAAAAAATTAACGGATGTAGTGGTACACGCCTGCAGTCCCAGCTACTTGGAAGGCTGAGGCAGGAGGATCATTTAAGCCCAGGAGATCGAGGCTGCAGTGCACTGTGATCATGCCATTGCCAGAGCGAGACTCTATCTGGAAAAAAAAAAAAAAAGAGATCAGAGAGGGGCGCAACATCAAATCCTCCACTTTCTTGAGCCTCCAGTTGCTCTGATGATGATCTGAGGCTGTGAAACTTTCCTTTGGCAAATGCATGAGGGGTGACTGTTGTGTCTCTGAGCCAGGCCCTGGGACCCAACTCTGGGCAGGAAACAGCTCCCTGTGTACCAGATGTGATAGTAAAAAACTGACACTGGGTTGGGCATGGTGGCTCACGCCTGTAACCCCAGCATTTTGGGAGGCCGAGGCGGGTGGATCGTTTGAGACTAGCCTAACTAGCATGGTGAAATCCTGACTGTCCTAAAAATACAAAAATTAGCAGGGCATGGTGGCGGGTACCTGTAATCCCAGCTACTCGGGAGCCTGAGGCAGGAGAATGGCGTGAACCCAGGAGGCAGAGCTTGCAGTGAGCCGAGATCGCGCCACTGTACTCCAGCCTGGGCGACAGAGCAAGATTCCGTCTCACAAAAAAAAAAAAAAAAAAAAAATTGAGGCCAGGCACGGTGGCTGACACCTGTAATCCCAGCACTTTGAGAGGCTGAGGCAGGCGGATCAACTTGAGCGCAGGAGTTCGAGACCAGCCTGGGCAACACGGTGAAACCCCATCTCTACTAAAAATATAAAAATTGGCCGAGCACAGTGGCTCACACCTGCAATCCCAGCACTTTGGGAGGCCGAGGTGGGCAGATCACAAGGTCAGGAAGATTGAGACCATCCTGGCTAACAGTGAAACCCCATCTCTACTACAAATACAAAAAATTAGCTGGGCATGGTGGCGGGCACCTGTAGTCCCAGCTGCTCAGGAGGCTGAGGCAGAATGGCGTGAACCCGGGAGGCAGAGCTTGCAGTGAGCCGAGAAGGCGTCCCTGCACTCCAGCCTGGGAGACAGAGCGAGACTCTGTCTCAAAAAAAAAAAAAAACTATCTATATATCTATATATATAACCCAGGCATGGTGGTGTGCACCTATAATCCCAGCTACTCAGAAGGCGGAGGCATGAGAATCACTTGAACCCAGGAGGTAGAGGTTACAGTGAGCTGAGATCATGCCACTGCACTCCAGCCTGGGCAACAGAGTAAGACTCTGTCTAAAAAAAAAAAAAAAAAAAATTGGCTGGGCACAGTGGCTCACACCTATAATCCAAGCACTTTGGGCGTCCAAGGTGGAGGATTGATTGAGCCCAGGAGTTTGTGACCAGCCTGGGCAACATGGCAAAACCCTGTCTATTTAGTGAAAATTTTTTAGGGGCTGGGCACGGTGGCTCACGCCTGTAATCCCAGCACTTTGGGAGGCTGAGGCAGACAGATCACCTGCCATCAGGGGTTCGAGACCAGCCTGGCCAACATGGCAAACCCCTGTCTCTACTAAAAATAGAAAAATTAGCTGGGCGTGGCGTCACTTGTAATCACAGCTACTGGGGAGGCTGAGGCAGGAGAATTGCTTGAACCCAGGAGGTGAAGGTTGCAGTGAGCCGAGACTGCGCCATTGCACTCTAACCTGGGCTACAAGAGCGAGACTCTGTCTCAAAAAAAAAAAAAAAAAAAATCCCTCTACAAATATTAACTCATTTAATTCTCAGAACACCCCTAGGAGGTGGGTCCTGCTATCCTGCTGGTTTTGTAGATGAGATAACTGAGGCACAGAGAGGATACACGTGGCCCAGGTCTTGGTCACATCTCAGCCTCCATTTCCTAGAGGAGAAAACAAGGTTCCAAAAGGGGAAGTCATCGGCCTGAGGTCACGAGCCGGGAAGTGGAGGAGCCAGGATGGGGCCCGAGGTCTATCTGAGGCCAGAGCCAGTGCTGACCCGCCAGACAGGAAATCAGAGCTGGGGACTGACTGTGGGGCCCACTCAAGTGGGTGGTGGGGTGGTGACGGGAGCTGGGATGAAAGCCAGGATGAGGTGTCACATCAGGCTGAGGCTCCTGCTGGGCCTGGCGGGGCGGAGACCCCTGGATGATGCCTGGCGAGCGTCTCCTGATTTCTGCTGTGCTGTCCCCTGGGTGGCCAAGGCGCCAGGCCCGGCTGTGGATCTGACACCTCCTGCTGCCGAGCTCTGATCAGAATCTGGCTGCAGGGCAGGGGGCGAAACTGAATCCTGCCAAGCTCCCCTGGCCTGGATGTCACGGCAGATACCCCAACCCCACTTCTTGGCACCGCCTGACCCCCAGCGGTGGCCTTCTTGGAACCTGGAGAGCCTGTGCCCACCCCATGTTGCCGACCAGGCTGCTGCCTTGGCCCTGGGCTCTGGGCTCCACGGTCCCCAGGGATCCCATGCCCAGGCTCCTGCCCCTCCCGGCTCTCAGGTGAGCTGCTGGGATCGGGTTCCTGTGGTTTCAAGTCCTGCATTGTTCTTGGCTGGGCCCCGGCTTATGAAACAGTAATGAGGGGCCCCTGCTCCCGAAGCCGGCCCCTCTAAGGTTTCCACTGCCTCGGCTGCTGCTGCCACCATAGCCCGGAGTCAGGGCCTGGGAGGGCGGCAGCGTGGGGGCCTGAGCCGGAGCCCCCCGGGGATGAGGGTGCTGACAGCCGACAGCCGCCACCACCGCCAGAGCCCGCAGCCCAGGTAATCCGAGAGGAGGCGGGGCGCAGGGTGCCATGGCCGCTGTCTCCCACCACCAGGGGAGGGACCTACTGCTCTCCAGAGGTGGGGAGGAATTGGGGGGGGCCTTGGAGGTGAGCAACCGTTCTCCCCTGGTGAGCCCAGCACCAGACCAGCCTTCACAGGTGTGGCCTTGCCAAGGGTGGAGGGAGAGAGGAGCGGGCAGCTGGCTCCAGGCCTTGACCCTCCAGCCCTGGAGCCCCTGCCTCTCCTTTAGTGGGGCAAATCTCTTCTGTCCTCCAAGACCTTGTTTTCCCATCTCCTCTACCATCAAACTGCCTCTTCCTCCCTCAGACCTCTTCCTTCTCTCAGCCAGCCTAATCCTTCCTCCTCACCCTTGTCTTTTGGCCGCAAAAGACCCTGGTGGATCCTTCTTTCCACCTCGTTCTGGGGCGCACAACATACATGCATATATACATAAACTTGCACTGATGCAAACGTACGAATCCGTGTACCCGCGTGACCTGCGCAGGCATGCATGCGCAAGAGCTCACTCCACCTATGTGCACACACGTGCCCCCAATACCAGGTCTTTATCCACACACATACCTGCTCCAAGGCCCGTATGTGTACAACACGTGTGCATGCACACACCGGGTACCTCAGCCAGCCCTCGGCTTGAGTCCCAAGGGGCGCTTCCAGCCTGATGGGCAGCTCCTTGAGAAGTGCGAGATCCCCGGAGGAGATGCCTGGAGACTCCCACACCGCTGGGAGGGGCTGTGCAGGGGGAGGGGAGACCCCACGTGGGCGCTGAGTTGTCTCCTCTCTCCAACCCTGGCCCAGGAGCTCAGGAGCCCTTCAGGTGCTGAGGTGCCCTACTGCGACCTGCCTCGATGCCCACCTGCCCCTGAGGACCCACTCAGCGCCTCAACCTCCGGCTGCCGGTCTGTGGTGGACCCGGGCCTCCGGCCAGGGTCCAGGAGGTGGGTAGAGTCCCAGGGCCCGGGGAAAGGCTTCATGGGGTGGAATGCCCTTGCCCTTCCCATTTGCACTCCTTCCCCAAGGCAACACCTGTCTGTAATGGCTGCTGGCATGGGTCACGTGGTCAGTCCTCCAAATCTAGGCACAGGTGGGCGGTGGGCATGCTCCTTGGGCAGACAGGAAAAGCTCAGAGCACACCACCCTGCTTGCACTTGGGTGGCTGAGCCTCCCCTCCCCAACCCTGGCTGTCTCTCCCGGGGCCCCTGCCCCCCCATAACCTCCTAAGACCGAGCTCAGCTTTGCCCCAGGGCATGTGCTGCTGTGCACCCACCTTGCAGTGGGTATGGCCACAGCCTACTCACATTTCCTGGTTCCCTTTGCACAGCTTTAAAAGATTAAACAGTCCCTGCACCCAGGGGCACCTGCTGTCACCCACCTACCTGGGTGTGCACTGCTCCGGGCTCTGGCGTTCCTTCCACCCTTAGGCCTGAGTGGCAGTTCCCCCTTTAAGGTCATGATACCTTGGGAGGCCATGGCCTGAGAGTCTAGAAACCTGGGTTCCAGCTTCAGATCCATCCCTGATGGGTCTTGAGCAAGTTACTCTGTCTTCCTGTGTCTCAGTTTCCCTGTCTGTAAAATAAGAGGAACTGAATCAAATCAGCATTGTGCTAGGATCACTCATGTGCTCCTCACAGGTAGACATATTTAAAAAAACAGAAGGCCGGGCGCGGTGGCTTACGCCTGTAATCCCAGCACTTTGGGAGGCCGAGACGGGTGGATCACGAGGTCAGGAGATCGAGACCATCCTGGCTAACATGGTGAAACCCCGTCTCTTCGAAAAAAATACAAAAAATTGGCCGGGCGCGGTGGCTCACGCCTGTAATCCCAGCACTTTGGGAGGCCGAGGCGGGCGGATCACAAGGTCAGGAGATCGAGACCACGGTGAAACCCCGTCTCTACTAAAAATACAAAAAAATTAGCTGGGCGCGGTTGTGGGCGCCTGTAGTCCCAGCTACTCGGGAGGCTGAGGCAGGAGAATGGCGTGAACCCGGGAGGCGGAGCTTGCAGTGAGCCGAGATCGCACCACTGCACTCCAGCCTGGGCGATAGAGCGAGACTCCGTCTCAAAAAAAAAAAAAAAAAAGAAAAAATACAAAAAATTAGCTGGGTGAGGTGGCGGGCGCCTGTAGTCCCAGCTACTCGGGAGGCTGAGGCAGGAGAATGGCATGAACCCGGGAGGCGGAGCTTGCAGTGAGTCAAGATCAAGCCACTGCACTCCAGCCTGGGCGACAGAGCAAGACTCCGTCTCAACAACAACAACAACACAATTCAAAATAAAAAAATAAAGAGATGCTGTTTTAGCTCAACGAGGCAACCCATATAAAAAGCCTGACACAGAGGCAGCCCTCAGCATTGGCTCCCTCTCCCACACCAGCGTGTGGGCCCCAGGCTCCCCGTGTGAGTGAGTGTGAATGCCTGGGTGGGGTGGGGAGTACCCCTAACTCCCCATTACTTTTTGGGAAAAAGTCATGGGTCGGTCTCCTCTCCCAGGGGCCCATCCCCCTCAGCAGGGCTCCCAGAAGAGGGTCCCACAGCCGCCCCCAGGAGCGGGAGCCATGATCTTGAGGCAGTGCCCTATCTGGAGGGCCTGACCATTTCCCTGCGTGGCAGCTGCAACGAGGACCCCGGCTCTGACCCCGGCTCCAGCGCTGACTCCGCCACCCCTGATGATACCAGCAACTCGTCCTCTGTGGTGAGCCAGGAGCGGGAGATGGGGGGACAAGAGTGGCTCACACCTCCATCTGCAGCCCTGGGTCCCGCCTGAATCTCCAGGCCAGGGCTAAGCCTCATACCAGAGAATTCGGCGAGGTCCTCTGGACCATTAGCTGGCACCTCGGGCCACCCCGGTGAACCCCCAGAGGGTGGGGGTTTCTACACAGGCTGGCCCAGGGCGGCTGGGGTCTGGCTGTGAAAAGACGGGAAAGGAGTTTCAGCTGACAGGAGCTCCGGGTGAATCACCAGTGGGCTTGGGCTGCCAGGTCCCAGAGGGCTGGGATGTTGGGTGTGGTGTCTAGAGCAAGAGTGGCACAGAACCCCAGGGCCCTGCCCTCACCACACGGTGCTGAGCCCCATGGCCAGCCCTGGCATAGATTTCCAAGGGACAGAGGGAAGGGAGCAGGCTGCGGGGGTCATTTAGCCACGAAAAGAGAAGACCCAGCAGTCTTTCCTCTAGCATTGGCACTTTGAGGGGCTGCCACGGAGCCAGAGAGACAGGCTTGTCCCAGGAGACCCCTTCAAAAGGAAAATGATGGGGGGTGGTGATAAGACTCAGAATAAAACAACCCAGCCTCGCACGCTTCATGACCAGCTCCACGGTAAGCGCTTGGTGGGTGTGGGCTCGAGGGAGACTCACCACACCCTTGGAGGCGGAGACTTCAGTCGTCCCATATGGGGCTGAGGCTCAGAGGGGGAGCAATTTAGTGGCGGCCACACATCTGGGAAGCAGTGGGGCTAGGATTTGAACCCACTTCTCTCTGGCCCCTGGGGGTATCTCACACCAGTCCCAGATGCGGAACTGGGGGAGTCTGGGCAAAGTTCTTGGCTTCAATGGACGTGCATGCCTCCTAGGTTCATTGAAGATAAGCGACTTAGCACTTAGCACCTGCTAGAGCCCAGCACAGTGCCAGGCAAACAGCAAGTGCTTTTTATTTAATTGACTGATTGAAGACCAGGTGCGGTGGCTCACACCTGTAATCCCAGCACTTTGGGAGGCCAAGGTGGGCGATCACCTGAGGTCAGGAGTTCAAGACCAGCCTGGCCAACATGGTGAAACTCCATCTCTACCAAAAATACAAAAATTAACAGGGTGTGGTGGTGGGCACCTGTAATCCCAGCTACTTGGGAGACTGAGACAGGAGAAACACTTGAACCCGGGAGGCGGAGGTTGTGGTGAGCTTAGATTGTGCCATTGCACTCCAGCCTGGGCAACAAGAGCAAAACTCCATCTCAAAAAGAAAAAAAAAAAAAGTTGATTGTTGAGACAGGGTCTTGCTCTGTTGCCCAGGCTGGAGTGCAATGACTTGAACATGGTTCACTATGGCCTTGACTTCCTGGGCTCAAGTGATCCCCTGACCTCAGCCTCCTGAGTAGCTGGGTCTACAGGCATGCACCATCATGCCTAGCTAATTTTTTTTTTTAAATTTTGTAGAGACAGGGTCTCACTATGTTGCCCAGGCTGGAAGTGCTTTTTACTGAGTCCATGGAGCAGAGTCTACACCACAGAAAGTGTGGTACCACTCACTGTCACCTCTCCAGGGCAGAATGCAGAACCTGATGGTTTAGGAAGTACTTTTTATTTTTTATTTTATTTTATTTATTTATTTTTGAGATGGAGTCTTGCTCTGTCACCTGGGCAGGAGTGCAGTGGCATGATCTCAGCTCACTGCAACCTCCGTCTCCCAGGTTCAAGCGATTCGCCTGCCTCAGCCTCTGGAGTATCTGGGATTACAGGCGCCCACCACCATGCCTGGCTAGTTTTTGTATTTTTAGTAGAGACACAGTTTCACATGTTGGCCAGGCTGGTTTCGAACTCCTGACCTCAGGTGATCCACCTGCCTCGGCCTCCCAAAGTGTTGGGATTACAGGTGTGAGCCACTGCGCCCGGCAGGGAAGTGCTTTTTTTTTTTTTTTTTTTTTTTTTTGACATAGAGTCTCGTTCTGTTGCCCAGGCTGGAGTGCAGTGGCGCGATCTCCACTCACTGCAAGCTCTGCCTCCTGGGTTCACACCATTCTCCTGCCTCAGCCTCCCGAGTAGCTGGGACTACAGGCACCCGCCACCATGCCTGGCTAATTTTTTGTATTTTTAAGTAGAGACGGGGTTTCACCGTGTTAGCCAGGACGGTCTCAATCTCCTGACCTTGTGATCTGCCCGCCTCAGCCTCCCAAAGTGCTGGGATTACAGGCGTGAGCCACCGCACCCGACCAGGGAAGTGCTTTTTAATGTCAATTCTCTTCCCTTCCTTCTACCCCTCTCATTTGGGGAGTATATGTCCTGCAGCCTTTCTTCTCCCACAAACATACTTTCTCCTCCCCTTCTCTGGCAGGATTGGGACACTGTTGAGAGGCAGGAGGAGGCCCCCAACTGGGACAAGCTCGCAGTGATGATCCCTAGGAGACCTCAGGAGGGGCCGAAAGCTGACAGCTCCCAAAAGGCTCCGTCTCTCCTCACCAGGTCCCCTGTGGGAGGAGACACTGCAGGCCAGAAAAAGGAGGGTGAGTCCTTCTGCCAGGTTGGTTCCCATGGTGATGGCCTGGGGCCCCCCCAGATAGCCATCTCACTGGCCATTTGGGACCTTGGGTATGGCTTACTTTGGTGGCCTGAGTGTTAATAATAGTAACAGTTCCCATGTCATGGTGGAGCAGCCACAATGAACCATGCTACCTACTGTATTATTATTATTATTTTTGGGGGGGGACGGAGTCTCACTCTGTTGCCCAGGCTAGAGTGCAGTGGCGCGATCTCAGCTCACTGAAACCTTCGCCTCCCCAGTTCAAGCGATTCTCCCGCCCCAGCCTCCCAAGTAATTGAGGTTGCAGGCTCCCGCCACCATGCCCAGCTAATTTTTGTATTTTTAGTAGAGATGGGATTTCACCATGTTGGCCCAACTGGTCTCAAAACTCCTGACCTTCAGTGGTCTGTCCATCTCAGCCTCCTAATGTGCTGGGATTACAGGCGTGAGCCACTGCGCCTGGCCTATTATTATTATTTTTATTTTTTTGAGATAGAGTCTCACGCTGTTGCCCAGGCTGGAATGCAGTAGTGCCATCTCAGCTCACTGCAACCTCCGCCTCCTGGGTTCAAGTGATTCTCCTGCCTCAGCCTCCCTAGTAGCTGGGATTACAGGCTTGCAACACCACGCCTGGCTAATTTTTGTATTTTTAGTACAGACGGGGTTTCACCATGTTGGCCAGGCTTGTCTCAAATTCCTGGCTGGGGATTACAGGAGTGAGCCACTGTGCCTGGCCTTAGTCAAGGAGTTTGGACTTTCTTCTCTAAGCAGTAGGGAGCCACTGAAGGTTTTTTTGAGGAGGAAAGTCATGTAATTGAACCTGTGCCTTAGGAAGTTCCCTAGGTCAAAGGTGCAAAGGAGGAGTTGGAGCAGGGAGGGGCTGAAGGATGAGAAACCAGTTAAGAGACTGTTGCAGCTACCATAGCAATAACTGGTTCAGGCACGAATCACCGGCGGATACGGGTGGTAAGTTGTCAGGGAACAGGGGTTTCACCATGGTCTCAAAGCATCAGTCCTCAGATTCTGCATCGATTACAGAGCGAAAAGATGCCGTTAGGCTGGGGAGAGCAGGAAGATACCACCTTCACCAAGCAGCTGTTCAGCATCCCCAGAGTGGAACAAACTAACATCAGATGCCCCTGATGTGATGCATGGGGTCGGGGGAGGGGATGCTGGGGTGCGCACAGAATCCTTCCCTTCTAAATTGTCCTTCTGCAAATGCATTGCCTACACCTAACCCCGGTGAAACATCACACAAACCCGAATTGAAAGACATTCTGCGGCCGGGCGCGGTGGCTCAAGCCTGTAATCCCAGCACTTTGGGAGGCGGAGACGGGCGGAT